TACACCTAATCATTGGTTTAATCTACTGATATGGATTAACTGGGTAATAGCTGTAGGCAGGTAGGGTACAGCTGGAGGAGAAAGCTCATTGGGGGTGTGCCTTTGGGGTAAAGCTCTCTGTGTTACCTGGTGCCATGTTCTGAGCTGCTTTTCTCCTCTACATCATTCTACCATGATGTTCTTTCTCACCTAGGGCCCAAAGCAATGAACTAACACCTTTGAAATGGTGAGCGCCAAATACACTTTTCCTCCTTTAAAATTCATGTTAGGTCTTTTGGTCACAGTGATGAAAAAGTAGACTAAAATATCTAAGAACCGACTTTTGGTGTCACTGATTTTCTCTTCTCTATTTCACTTATATCTGCTGTAATCTTTTATTATTTTCATTCTCCTGCTTGCCTTGGGTTCAGTCTTTTATTCTTCTTCTAGTTTCTAAAGTAGAAGATAAAGCTGCTAATTTTGAGATTTTTAAATATATATATATTTTTAGATGGAGTTGGACACAATACCTTTATTTCACTTATTTATTTTTATGTGGTGCTGAGGATTGAATCCAGGGTCTTGCATGTGCGAGGCGAGCGCTTTACTGCTGAGCCACAACCCCAGTTCCATTTTTGAGATCTTTTTTCCCTTTTTTTTGGTTCTGGGGATTGAACCCTGGGGTGCTTTACCACTGATCTACATTCCCCAATCCTTTTTATTTTTTATTTTGAGACAGGGTCTCACTAAGTTGCTGAGAGTCTTGCTACATTGCCCAAGATGGCCTCAAACTTGTGATCATCTTGCCTCAGTCTCCTGAGTCACTGGAATAACAGGCATTCGCTACTATATCTGGCTCTTCTCAATTACAGGCTGTTACCAACCACTACAGTTTGTGCTACTTCAGAATTACTTTAATGTTCTACAGATCTTGCAGGGCTAAGAAGCTAACACTTTTGAGTAGCTTCTTCTTATCAGGTATAAAACATTACTTAAACAAATTCACATTTTATGGTAAAATGAATAAAGAAACAGAAGTATAAATCAGGGATTTGTTGATTGTTCTGTTGAGTACCTACAGATGCCAAGTAGGAATTTATTTTTAGCTATAATATACCTGAAACATATCTATACTCAGAATAATAACCTATTTCTCTGATTGTCATATTTTAGACAACCTGAATGTTCTGAAACACATCTGTGAACTCAAAAATGATTCACAAGATAGTTTCAGGCCCTTCTGCTTGGCATTTACCTGTTTTCTTTCCTAACCTAGGAAATTCCTCTTTGTCTTCTAAGACTGAGTTTAAATGTCAACTCTCCTAATCCACCTCAGTCCTAGGTTCTATGGTATTCATCCCCATACTGAACCATCCTTCTACCTTTCTATATCTATCTCCTCGCCAAGGCTGTGGATTACCTAGGGGCAGACTCAAGGGTGAGATGCCACTTGCATCTTTGTAGTTCTCAGTACCTCAATCCACTGGTAGCCTCCACCAGCCAACTCCAGACAGCTTGGGAATTGGTGACTCAGACATTACTGATGTATTCCCACCTGCTCCAACACCAGCATGGCCAGCCCTCTGCTCCCAGCCATGCTGGGAGCCCAGGCCTGGAGAGAGCTTAAGGTGAATCTGTAGCCTCTACGTCCCTCATTTGGAGCCTTTAAGTGTGGCTAGGGTCACTCTTAGGAGTGTAAAGATGGAACATATATGGGTTGGTTTGCTGGGGTAGCAGGTAGACGGGCACTGACAAGAATGAGGAGTGACCATAGAAAACAGAGGCAATCACAAGAGAGGACACAAGAAAAGCACCAAGCAGAGTAGCACAGCGCAGAAGGCTCTTTAGCCTGGGGCACAGAGCTCTCTGCACTTACAGAGGCCCCAAAACATCACTGGGTGTCAAGGCCAGATGCACAAGCAAAGTGGTTGGTAAAATTTAGTGAAAGAACAAAGTAGGCCCCACACAATTTTATAGCCCTAGAGGGCATCAATACATCAAAATTTAGTTCAGTACCATGTTCAAAACAAGAACCTGAATCACTGAGAAAAGGTTAAATGATATTCACCACATCTGTCAATAAGTTGCCAAGAACAAACACATTTTAGAAACACATTTCTTTCAAAAAACGCAAATTTTCTCATAGATGTCAGAGCTTAAAGTAAGAAATTATCTAGACAATAGGGGCCACCTTAATCCCAAAGCTAAGGTGTCAGGTACACAAGAGACACATTACTTACAATGAGCCACAGCAGTTTCCAAGGCAAGGCAAGCAGGAATTGGGGAGCACCTCATCACATAAAGGTCTTAAGGTAAGAACAACTCTGGGGCGCCAGGTGGTATCTTGAGGACATCACTCATATACTGAGCAAGCCAGCTCTAAGTCAGAGAAACTCCCACCAAAGCTAAACTGGATCACCCAGATTTCTAACTGGAGCCTGTGTTCTTCTGTTGCCTTGGTTATTCTTCCAGTTCTTGATCTGTGGTCCAAGTTTCATGTTCATGATCTTATTCCTCTGTTTAGTTTTTGGGGTCTTCTATTTGGCCACATGGTGGCTAATTCTGGCTCTGTCCCACAGTTCTACCCCTTGACTCTCAGGTTGGCTCTAACTTTCACTTCTGGCCATTCTGGCTCCTGTGCACCCTGGTCTTGTTTTACTGCTTCTTCACTCTTTGCCATGACAGAAGGTCAAGCCAAATGCACAATATAATAAAGTATGTTAAGCTGGGCTCTGCTATAGCTATTTTGTACATGATTCCAAATAAACTCACTTTGTTTGAATTGGCCTCCCTTAGAGGTAGCATTTTTTGACATGACTTTTCTCTAACTGGAAACAGTACCAGTTTCTGATACCCATACCCAAGGAGCAATTGGCTCAATTCCTGGCTGGAATTCATTCATAAATAGAAGCACTAAAAGTCGGATCTCTTGATAGCTACTTGTCCCATGGGACCTACATGGGCAGGTTTACCTTAGAAAGTCACTCTATAAGAGGTTCTCAAACATTAAAATGCAGAGTTACCTATGAAATTAGCAGCTTCTGGGCATCGTCTCCAGATTACTCAGTAATCAGGGTCCAGGATTCTGCGTCTTTAAGGATCTAAGCCAGTTAGTTCTTGGACCACTCTATGAGGAACACTGCATCACAGCAAGGAGAAACCTGACTCATACACCGGACAAGCACAGCTAAGTACAGCTCTCACCAGCCTCTTCTCTAATGCCATCAGGCACCTTGCTACCACAGGTTACTTAGGCTTAATCTTCCCCAATACTCTTAACTGCAAAATATCAGCTCAGTTCAAAGATTAACTTGCATTTAGTCAAGACAAAGTCGATTTTCCAGGTTTCCATAAAGAAGATATTCTAAAATGGTTTTGGAATAAATGAGGATATGATTTTATGTATTTTTTCTCTTGAATGAAGAAGAAATGCTATAAAGAAAAACATGCCATTGAAGTGACAGACTACTGCTTCACAGAACATCACCCTATAATAATTTCAAGTCTCATGATTTTGCCCAAATTAAACAAGTAAAATATTTCAAATTTACAGCAACCATTGCTACTATAAATATGGAATGAAAATATCTATCTGATCCAGAAAACCTTCAAATTAACTCTTCAGCAATACACGTATTACTGCTGAGGAGTATCTGTACCTGAATCTTCTGCGGCCCAGGAGCCCGGCAAAGCAAGAACAGCAGGGCCTGGGAAGTGCAGCAGGCTGTGCATTGAGGTGGGTGGGCCAAGTTTCCCTGGGCATTTCCCCAAGCACAACTGGAGGGAGACCTCAGGAAAATCAGTTTAATTAGGAGGATTCTGATGGGGATAGGAGGCTTTTGGAATCTAAGATGACAGGAGATATTGATGAGCTATTAGATCCAGGAGGCCTGTCTGATATCTGAGATAATGGCGTCTCCATTTGTTTCAGGACGATGCCTTCATTTTTGCACCAACATGGTTTATGGCTTGCAGGGGATATATGGACTGACTGATGCAACCATTAAGGATGTTAGAGCCCCATTCTTACTATTATTGTGATATGTGTGTGTTTTTGTCTTTTTCCTAGGAGGATCTTTATTTTTTCTCCCAAATCTCATAACTGGTTATGCAGATGTTTAATTGAGAGGAATAACTATGAATTATGGTTTGTTTTTTTCCTTTTAAACTTTCCTCTCTGAATCATTTATTGCTTTCCCTCTCTATTTACAAGTGTTCCAAATATTAGAAAATTAAAGTTTAAAAAATAAACAATTGCTGGTAGGCAAGCCCAAGCCCAAAAAAGCAGTTTGTAAAAATGTTTCTTTCCTGAGAGCGTTGTATATGTACTCTGACACTGCTTCTGTACAAGAAGGAATTTAAAGTCAGAATAAGAAGTTGAAAAAGTTGAGAAAGAAATGCAGGTAGAGAGTTCCATGAAGGCATGGAAGGGATCGTGGAACTCTGGGGGAAAAGGATGATTGAGGTGAGATCACTTAAACTGTGAGACAGCTAGTTTCTAGAACACGCATGAAGTTAGCGGTGTGTGCTCGAGGAGGGCCTAATTAGGAAACTAATGCTGAGCTGTTGACCTAAAGCTTTTGAACCTCTTTTCACCCTGATATGCTCCGAGTAGATAAAGGAAGGCACATTTTACCCAGCTTGTTGGCCATCCAACTCTGACCCTAGCCTAGGGAGTGACTTTAGATGTCTACTGTGGAGAAAATGAAACAACTTTAATTTCCAGCTCCATCCCCATCTGGCCAGGGAGAGGATCAATTAATATCATCATGTTTTGTCTTTAGGGCCTCTGACACCCCTGAGGACCAGCCTGTGGGACAGTCTGTCTTTGCAGGGATTCTTGGCCAGAATCAGGAGAACAGGACTCAGGACGAGGCCAATTCACGTAACACAGCTCAGAGCATACAACACAACTTGCTCCGAGGATGTTGGGCATTGTGCTTCATTAGGAAACAAAATATAAGCTTTCCACACCATTAGGAATGACTTTAGGAGTGAAAGCACATAAGACGATGCCTCACCTCATCAACAATGCACTGCAGAAGCTGGAGAGGCTGCAATGGAAAAGAAGAGAGGGAAAAGTATTAGCCTCCGTGCAATATCTTTACAGTGGAGTGGAAAGAAAAAATCATTAATGCAATAAAATATAGCAAGATTAATCAACAACAGCAAACTCTTATAAAAACATTGATGCTCAGGATGTTCTATTATTTCTAATGGTACCTAATCTAATACAGGCAGTTAAAGGTTTGCATTTTCTTCAAAATGCAATTTGCTAAGTTTAAAACAAGGCATTCAAGCATGCAAAGGAAGCAGCCATCAGGAAAAAGAAAAGTGAATTTTTTTCTGAACTCATAAAGCTTACCATTAAAGATCCCTGGTTTTTCTGAATCTGAAAAAAGGCAATATGTAATTAGCATGTCATAATCAAAATGACTCACTTGGACACATTATGATCACTGAGAGAAAATTATTGCATTGCTGGTGGCAATTTGTGGGCATGTGTTAACACAATTTACATAATGAAAATACACAAATGTTAATAGCTCGCTTCTCATTTATAGGCGAAAGTCAGCAGAATGTTAATTTCACACAACACTTTTTAGTACCCTCCAGGTTGTATTAGAATAGGGAGAAAAACCATAATCCATTTCAAAAGGCTGTTTACGATTCAGATATAAATAATGTTTTATATTGCTAGATTGTGAACACTGGGCTTAATGTTGCAATCATTGCTAATGTTATGAAGCTCACTCTTTTTAAATTAAAAACCGATTTATTTAAAATTGAAATTAAATCATAGTCAGAAATTAGAATTTTGGATTCCTGCCAGTGTCTGCTCACAATCCCCTATTTTGTGAAGAAAACTTTAATTATGTGGTTGAAGTATTTGCTTCTAACTTGGGAGTGGGGTAGAAACTCCACCTTTTCCTTCAGCCTGTTTCCAGGGCAGCAAGGCTCTCTGGGACAATCAAATTCATGCAACTCTGACACTTTCTCAGGAGTAAAAGCTGAGTCCAATCAGAGAGCTGTTCCTAATCAACATTCTGAGGGCAGGCTGTTCACACTGAACACCAGGTCTCTTAGAAAGTTACCAGAATGTGACAAGATTAACACAGCATCAACTCAGTGATTAAAATATTAAATAATTCAGCGCCCCTGCATGCCTACAGTTATTTCAAACTTGGTGAAAATGGAGTCCCAGGGACTAAATTCCCTAAGAAGGAAATTTTTAGGAAGCAAATACTACTATTGATGGACCGACTATTTTCTGGGATACATGAGTTCCAACCAGTGGGTAAAGTGTAGGGAAAATAATAATAGTCCCTAATATGTTTTTAATAATACTTTAAAAAGTTCTTTTCATACAGACTCTCATTTGATTGGCATGACCACCCTGAGGTATGCAGGGATGGCCATCTCTAATCTATGACAGGAAAATAGGGCCTCCCAGAGGATGGGGTAGCCTGGTCTCAGACCCAGGCTGGGTGGTGCTGGGGCTTCTCTAGTGCTTTCTCTCCAGTATCTACATTACACCTGCTCACAATTACCATATTATTAAAATACCAGTGGATTTACACATTTGTATACTTGGCATGGTAGAGCTGGGAAATGCTCAGTCTCGGTGTGTACATTGTAAGCTTTTTGAGGGCACCAGCTGTGTTTACACATTTCTTTTGCATTCACCTGGCTGATCAGCAGACCCTTCCACCTAGTGTTTGAGAGTTTAAAAGGTGCTTTCTCTACTGCCCACTCATGGCCTCCTTCCGGAAGCCTCTGTCTCAGGCTGACTGGTTCTATGCTGATGGTTCCTGTTTAGTGCTGTCCTCAATTACTATTCCTCCTGGTTCCTTCAGTCAAGGAGACTTCCAGACAGGGCTCTGCAGGTAAAGATTTACACTAGAAGGGCAGGCAGAGCTGTTTTCCACCTCCAGGGCAGTCAAAGAATTTAGTAATAAGCCACACCACCTTTTAAAAAACTTTGAAAAACCCAGGTAACTTCTCCCTTGATACAAGACACCCATGATATTTGCTTTTGTTTATTTTTTCCCAAGCATACATAGGTATTCCCTCCACCCCCAGAGTCTTAGTAAGATAAATCTGCTTCAATGGTACAGTTATTTGTAGTGAACAAAGAATTAGAAATCTATTTAAAAATTTTTTAAAAAAATTTTTAGTTGTAGATGAACACAAAACCTTTATTTTATTTATTTATGTGGTGCTGAGGATCGAACCCAGTGCCCCACACATGCAAGGCAATAGCTGTACCACTGAGCCACAACCCCAGCCCTAGAAATCTATTTTTGGTATCAAAATTTTCACAAATTTCCAAGAGTCAGGGGAACATTCCAACATTCTCTGAGGAAAACATGCAGCAAAAATTTGCAGACATGTTTGGACATGAGTTTAGGAATGGATTGTAAGACATTGTCCCTGGTAACATAAGCTGTGTAAACCAAAAGAATTGAGAGGAGAGAACTGGGATCTTCCGGAAGGCCTTCTCCTTATCCTATTCTGCCTGTTAAAAGAGTAACCTAAAGAGAACTTGTAATTGTACTATTTTAACACTTGTTCTTTGCTACAAGGAAACAGCAATACCAAAGTCTTTTTTATGATCCTATAACTATCCTGCTTTGCGCCCAGGTTTTTAAAGAGAGATGTTGTTACCAGGTTTTATTATGTAGTTCTGATAGCAACATATTATATGAAATCATCTTTATAAATTTTGTATTAAGGTAGCAGTGCCAGTACCTGAAATTGATTCCAAATGCTTAAGATACTCAATTACTTTTTAACACTATTATACAATGCAGTGACTTATATCTTCGATATCACAGAATTTGATGATGTAACATCATTGTAATTGATTCATTTTCTCAATTAAATAAAGCTACTGTGCTTTTCTTTATAGGAATGCCACACAGACCATAGAGTTAGATGTATTGTCTCCTTTTCCAGCCTCAGATATATTGCCTTAAAGGCTGTATTCTGTTCCTCTGTTAATTCCACCAGAAAATTTAACACCACAGTCATATTTTTCAAATTCTGAACTGCCATGCACTCGACTGTATTTATATTAGGCATATTTTTCACTGTTAAACTCTTTGTTGTTTACCTTTTTCAAGATCACATTATTGTACGGGCGCCGCAACCATAAAACAGATTCAAACAAAGTCAACCTCCAGTCATTGCCTCTGCTTTTGCACACAGTTCATGAAAAAGTGAAGCCTCTAGTTTTATAGCACATTAAAAGTGGTACTAAGGGTACTCAATATAAAATGTTAGCTTTGTGAACGACTATCTTTATTCTGGGTCTGCCTTCCAAATGCCTGGCTGTGGAGCAGAGTTCAGAGGAACACAATAATATTGTTAGGGCTGACATATTGCCTGCCCCTTGCAACATATGAAATGCTGTTTATAACTAACGTGTCCAAGTCCACATTCCTGCTTCTGCATTTTACTTGTGTTGAGCGGTTTCTATGCCTAACTAGTAATTGGAGACAATGAACAGAACAATAATTGTTCCAGACATGTACTTTGCTAAAGAGTCTTTAGAACTAGTAGTGTTTTGATTCACTAATTCGACGAACCTTTCCCCTCTTCTGGGCCCAGCTTTCTTTTGTCAGCTGTTAGATCCAAGGTTTAAGGCCAGCCTAACAGGGTACAGTTATGCCCCGTTCTCATATGTAAGACAGACCTGTAAGTGTTTTTAAAAGGGAAGAATGACTTTATTTAAAAAAGGAAGTCTCAAGTACCAGTTAGGTCTTTCTGTTATTATATTGACGTTTATTGTGTATTTCTTTGCAAAGACCACATAGTTGGTAATTAGAAAAACTTCTATAATAAGACATATGACTTGGGAAAATGATGCTGGAAAAGAAATTGACAATAAAAAGTTTGTGTGCGGGGCCTCAACTATTTAGTCAATGGTACTGGTGATAAAAAGCTATTACTGTGGCTTTCCTTCTGCTTTTTTCCCTGTAGAGGTTCTTTTTACATACAATGGGAAAACAGACCTTGCTACCAGCCCTTTACATTATATTCAGAGGCACAATCAGAAAACTGAAATGCATCCACCTATGTAACTTAGAGAAGACACCAGCGATAGCTTTCATTTTCTCGTTTTACTCTCTGAAATTATGGCTTGCCCTGAAGCTCTTGTCTGAGAGATTTATGTGTGACCTAGGTCAGATCTTCCAATATCAGTTGACAAATTTTCTCTTTACATATTTACTGCTTTTCAAGCTTGTGTTATTTTCTTTTAAATAGAAAAAGGAAATATAAAATCACATTGTATGGTTGGAATTTTTAAAGAATATCAGTGTCATTTTTTTTTGTGTTGCTGGTATCAGATTCTGGCTTTCAACACTGAACTATTCACTCCCTCCTTTTTTGAAAACTTCAAATTTTGGGCACTGTAGTTATTTTGCAAAGACTCTCTTTTTTTTAAAGACAGTATTTTTTTTTTTTTTTGGTGCATAATGCTATAACCCTGGATAAATAAACAGGGATTATGTCAAACTGGGAATTTTGTATTCTAGATGAAGAATTATAACCTTAAAGAACTTTTCAAATGGAAAGAACCTCAAAGGTGCTCTAGTCCAACTTGCTCAATGTGCCATTAAGGAAACTGAGGCTCAGAGCAAACAGTGTCCAGGGTCACAGATGGAGCCTGGCCTGACAGTTGGCTCAGAGGCTGCCTGCCGGGGAAATGCACAACTTGGGAATCAAAGACCCTGGAATCAGATCCCAGGGGCCTCAGCCAGCTTCTCCCTCAATGGGGCTCAGTGCTGTTGTCTACACGGCGAGGAAATGGGCTATAGGAGCCCAGGTTCCTTGAAGACTCCCATCCAGAGCTCTGTTTCCTATCCAGAGCTCTGTTTCCCAGCCAAGGAGAACAGTACCAGCACCAGCACTGGGCTAGGTGCTCACACACAGAGATGCAAGAAACAAAGGTCTGCACATTGGAAAACCTTTAATGAGAGAGAGAAGAAAAAAATTCACTTCCACAGCTTTATATCCATTCCCTTGTGCCACTAACTTTTAATTTTTTTAAAGGAGTATAAATGGGAATGTTGATAAAGGGATATTTTCACTGAATGTCATATGAGACAAAACAATGGAAAATAGACATTACTTCTAAGGATGTAACACGAACAAGCATAATTTACTTGTGCCATCCTATCTCCCCTGTCTATCAGCTTCTGTCCTTGTTCCTGTTCTTATCATGCCTATGAGTCTATCAGTGAACCTGATGTAGGGTTCAAGACAAAAAGAAGTTCTAAGAGGACTCTGCAGGTAGCTACTGAACAGGGTCTGAGAAAGTCACTGTGACTCCCACATTCCAAGATCTGCTCACTGGTACCTTCTCTCTGGCCCATGTCTCAGACT